GTGAATGGGCAGTGAACATTCAACGCGATAGCTACGCTTCGTATGTTGGGCATGACGCATTATTGGCTTTCTTTGCTGTAGCCGAGAATGAATCAATTGGAAGAGAACGCTACAACTTCATGCAGGTGCGCTCTTTTTTAATTTTTTGGGATATTGCTCATGGTTTGCTTGTATTTTCTTGGGGTGTTTGCTTTTGTGCTTTAAATATTACTTGATTGCAATTTTGTAAGTGATTGGGATTGGTTTCTTAGGGTCTAGTCAAGGCTATTGTTTTGAATGTATTGGGGAAGATTGTGAATGTTGCGAGCAATGGCAACATTGCTATTCTCACATATTTCCCTTCCTAAGGAAAATTATACAGTAAATATTGCATGATTTATGGGGGTTTGATGTTAATGTTACTGACGGCATCTGCCTTGTTTGACATGTTTATCCGTTTTTGTTGGGTGTCTAGTTTGTATAGGTCTCTTCTTTTTCTGGGTTTCATTTCCACTTGCTTGCCAGATTAATGTATACAATTTATGTTGCAGAACTAAAACATTTAGTAGCTACAAAAATTGAGTCAATTTTGATATTTAGGATGGATGATGGCATTCAAACTATGGTGGTATCCTATAAGACAAATCCTTTACTAGACTGAAATATTGCTTGTGTAAATCACTTCTTCGAAGAGAGAAACTGATCGATGTTTTTGTCTGAACCTTATTGGTCAGTCTAGGGTTCAAGGAGTGTGTGTTGGATTCTTTAAAGGCTTTGAATTTTGGATGGCACAGTGTTTCTTTACCATTCTGGTATTTCGTCTTGTCAGCCTGTTTATATCATAATTAATTAATTCTCCCTTTACATGCAGAAAATGCTTTTGCCTTGTGGTCTGCCTCCTGAAAGAGAAGATGACTGAGAATTGCCAGTCTAGCAGAAGTTGAGCGGAATGTTCTGAATGCCAACTTCCAGGACTCTTCAGGCTGGAGTGTTGCTAAGTACAACAACTACCTACATTTCTGTTTTAAAGTAAGAACTTATGTACCACTTCTTATTTTTTAGGCCATACTTTATGCCTTTGTGGACCTTTAATAAATCTGTTGAAAATTGACTTGCAACTTTGTAGTCTGATTGGCGTTTCCTAGTGTTGTTTTATATAAGATTCAAATTATGTGGAAGCTTGGAAATTTAGATTTTAGAGCAAATGCAGTTTCTTGATTTGCTAGTTTAGTCCTTGTGATCCTAGCCATTGAGTCTGCACATCTATATATTCCCAGATCCCTTTGATGGTCCTTCCTGTGCATCTTGGTTCATGACCTTGTACATAATGTTACAGAGTCTAATTTCTATGTTGCTTATCCAAATATATCTTACATCTGTTCACCATAGCTGGAACCTCACGACCTCCTTACCATTTTGTATGCAAGAGTTTGTGCATCAGTTACAGAACCTATGTCATCCTCCAATTACATAACAGAATGTATCCGTTATCATGCAGCTGTAATTACTCCTGTTTTAGACAAATTGAATTTTTCATAAACTTCTTTCTTAGAATAACTACTGTAAACTTTAAAGTTTTGAAGTTTTAATGCTATTACCCAAAATTGATATCCTTGAGGAAGTGTTTTAAGGGTTAAGAATTTGAAACTCAAAGTTGGAGATTTTGAGTTTGAATCTTGAGAGGGGTGAAGATGGATGACAGAATGGGAGAGCTATCTCTTGTTACATAGTTTATCATCTAAGGTTAAAAAAAAGGAAAAAGAAAAAGAAGAAAAGGATTTCAAGGAAGTGGCTTAAAAATTGTTTGGAAAGACAAGCAGGGCAATTCAAGAATGAACTGTGGCACATCATTATGAGCCAACATCACGCTTAAATCATTGCCTAATTTACGCAGTTGATATTTTGATCTAGCAAGCACACGGCAGACCAAATTAAATTCACAATCTTCCACAGGCAAACCTCAACCGTGTTTAACCTTTTTCCTTTAGTTGCATTGGTATCATCCTGTCATAAATCATAACCATCTTCATTGAAGCCCTCATTTTCTTTGTTTGATAAGTTGGCCCAATCTGAATATCAATATTAATATGGCAAGCCCTAGAGCTAGTTGCAGCCCATTTCGTCCCCCTTATCATGTACCAAAATGGGGAAGTAAACAAAACAAAAAAACCGGTGTCTGCTAACTCCACTCTGGACCACACCTTACCATAAACAAAAATTTGGGTCAATTCGGTTACCAACCATTTTATCTGCTCGTGAACAAATGAAAACAACATTGGATATTATTTGACGTGCAAAAATACCCATCTATCGACAAAACCTGCCTTGGATTTTTATACTAAATCAGTCTGTTTTGCTAGATTTTTAGATACCAAATCCAGAGTCTCATCATCTTTTCTCTGATGGAGAAGGAGAAAGAACATTTTTCAGGAGCAGGCAGATGACTGATGATTAGGTGAGGCTGTATGTGAAAACACTACACCCACCCCTGTATCTCTCTCCCTCTCCTCTTTTTTTTTTTAGTTAGTGTTTCTCCGAATTAACTTTTACGTATTTTAAGAGTTGAAACTATTTCTTTTTAAGTATTTTTCTTTTTATGTTGGTTGCAATGGAATATAATCCTTTTTTTTTTAATTTTATTTCACTCGTATATTATGTTATTTAAATTCAGAATTTTTTAATTTTAACAAAAAAAATTTATCATTAAATTATTTAAATTATTGATATAATTTTAAAATATTCTTTCACATTAATATAATATATTTAAAGAAATCAATTTTTTTAAGCATTGACCTCAAAATTATACTTCAAATGACTTATAAAAGGATGCGTAACCCTTGGGGCTACCTCATTCTTTGGTATCTTCTTTTTCTTGAAAATTTTCAGTCACACAAATTTGTACCTTATACGGATATTTTTTTGGGTTGGCAAACAGAGCACTAAGC